GCCTGTTCAAATCAGACGCCGTTCTTTGCAAGATTTTAATTTGAACGACGACGACGCGTACACTGCTTGAAAATCTCCACGATGCGCTGGATACTACGAGTGTTGAGCTGGAGGTGAGGGCGCTGCGATCTCAGCTTCACGAGCGATCCCTGAAGCGAGCAATCTTGGCCGGTCAGCAAAATAGAGCTGATCCCAAGTAGCTGATTACTTTCTTGTGGCTTACGCTACTCTTGCCTGCACAGCGCAACAAGATAATGTATTTTGATGCGGCGCTGTATCAATCAGAATCACCCACCCGTCGCTCTCGAAATCCTCTCGAAATCTAGCTAGACCTTTGAGATATTAGTAAACTAACTTACTAACCAAAATTGGGATTGAATGGGATGCCAAGTGAGCATTGGTGACATATAAGCAAAGCTGAAAGATAAGCGACAATATCGCTGACGCTGACCAAGTATTTTCTTTAGGCTTAAATCAACTCTACACACTAAATCATTCTCTCTCATTTACAAAACATATATCCTGCCTATAATTGAATATGCATGCATTGCTGTCACCCCGCTCTCAATCGCAGCCCTTGACCATCTTGAGCGAATCCAGCTCAAGGCGACCAGAATCTGCCTCCGTCTCCCCCTCTACACTCCTCTGACTCATTCAACACTGCTCCATCGGCTCAAATGGCCGACAATGATCTCTCGCCGCAAAGTGAAGCTCACCCTTCTTGCCCACTCCATAAAATACCAATATACCCCACAACACATACGCATGCTCAACACCCCCGCTCAAGTTACGGCCCAGTACAGCCTTCGACACGCACGCACTTGGCACCTTCCACCCTCCAGAACCGATCGCTGTAAAGACTCCCCACTGTACAAGTCCCTAGAATACTACAATGCCCTCCCTGCTAGCATTTGTGACGTCTCCTACCGACCTGCTTTCAAACAAGAAATCTGGTCACTGCTGATTAACTCAATCTGCTCCTGCAGCGCTCACCCTCTCCCATACTTGTAAAATTTAAAGTGATGTAAATCACTTTCCAACTGCTTAAAGGGGAAGTTAAGGCAAAAATTAAAATTTCACCAGTTATAGTCTTCGGGGTGCTGAGTCGAATGGTCTTGGTCCGAGAAAGCTGAGACGCTCCCTTCCTACTTGAATCCCAATCGAACTCGCGCACTTCCACCGAAACTGGGTGACTGCGCCCTACGAGATGGGGATTTGTATGCAAAATGTCACTTAAAGCGCCATTTCGTTCTTCTAAAAGCACGGATGACCGCGATTGACCCATATGTTGTAGTCTTTTGGACGCTGAGTCGACTGGTTTTGGTCCGAAAAGGCTGCGATGCAGCGTTCGCCCCTAATTCCCAATCGAACATGGTTGAAGAAGCGGTCACGTGCTCCTGCGTACACCAGTCACCTGGTCACCGTGCCTGCAGGGTACAACCAAGAAAGAAAGGTTATGTACTCTTGGTACAACTTACAGCCTGTTTTGACCTTTTTTGGGTGCAGTCCTGTCACTCGAGTTGAACCTTGGTGTGAAAGTTGTCGCCTGCTGGCGTGGTGACCAGGTGATTTTGGCACCCAGGAGCACGTGACCGCTTCTTCAACCATGTTCGATTGGGAATAAAGGAGGAACGCTGCATCGCAGCCTTTTCGGACCAAAACCAGTCGATTCAGCGTCCAAAAGACTACAACATATGGGCCAATCGCGGTCATCCGTGCTTTTATAAGAACGAAATGGCGCTTTTAGTGACATTTTGCATACAAATCCCCATCTCGTAGGGCGCAGTCACCCAGTTTCGGTGGAAGTGCGCGAGTTCGATTGGGATTCAAGTAGGAAGGGAGCGTCTCAGCTTTCTCGGACCAAGACCATTCGACTCAGCACCCCGAAGACTACAACTGGTGAAATTTTAGTTTTTGCCTTAACTTCCCCTTTAACCAAGAATCTCACCTTCTCATAAATTTATCTCTTATTGGTGATGGTGCCATCGTGAGAATAAAGAATTCAAATGGAGCTACAGTTTGACTCTTATGCACAGTGATGGTAAATCTATCCTTCTTTGATCAATTCACATCTGTCTTTAATCGTACTGGCAACTCACACCAATCCCAGTGGATATAGTTTGATGTGCTCCCCAGGATATAAAGCGAATGGCCGAGGGCCCTCTTGATTGGTGTGAGTGGCCAGTATGATTCAAGTTTCGGAGAGAAAAGAGCAGTACATGGCATATTGCCTCTAATTTCTTAATAGAGAATGTAGTTTAACCTTTTTCATCCTGACCCATAAAGGAATTGTACAATCATTACGAAACTTATACAATCATTTTGGTTGTTTACCCTACGTGTCAAATATATATTTAAATTTGGACCAAGGATACCTGGGTGAGAGGTATGTTCCCATATAGGAACAACGGGATCACGGGTGTATAAAAATACCCAATTTGGACGATGCTATTGCGAGTAAAAGTTTAACCTGAATTCCAGGCTGTGTATGTTTTCCTGCCTGATATTGCCTGTCTTGCTGTACAATTGTGCGCTTTGGACCTTATCGCAAACATTAACCGACGTCGTCAATGTGTGGCACAGGAAGAAACTACATACCATCGTTGGTATCACGTACCCACAACGAATCTCGAACACAGCGCTGTGTGCCACAACCGAGCCGACCCCACTATCCCAAGTCTGCAGGCAACGAAGACTGCTGTGGTCCGGCCATGTAGTGAGGGAAGGCGAAGAATCGTCCTCTTTCCAAGCGAGCGGCGGGAGTCATATGGCATGGTCCGTGACGAGGTGACATTTTGACCTAAGTTCTTGTTTTCGGGACTTGTTTTCAATTTTTTCCTCGAATGGAGCGGAATCAAGTTCACAATACCAGTGTTATGTCGCTTTGACACTATGTACCCTCAGCTGTCATGATTCCGGTATTCATCCATTTCCAGTTTTATTTGTTGAAGTAAATAGTTGACATGGCGTGTGTTTTAGGACTGTCTTATTACATGTATATTCCTTTTGACTATTCTGCTGTTGCATGTGTGTGTTCATCTCACTGGTCTCGCGCGTTCCTCATTTCTTTTGTACAGTTGGCTTATGCAAATATTAGCCAAGCTTGCTTGGTGATGCTTGCTTGGTGATGTCAGCGTAAACAAGCGTATAACGATAATATACATCCATGCAAATTGTTAGAGTGATGAATAAAAAGTACTTCAAGTCCCACGCTCTGTTACATTAAAACCTGTATGCGCCACATCTAACACCATACTTCTACACTAAGAGTTAGAACCATATTCGTCAACATGTACTCTTCTTATCTATGAGCTATGCTTTCACCTCATGCCGCCGCTCTTGCTGATTGGAAGCTGTGTTGCGTTGATCCTATATAGTTCACTGTGTGTGCGTGTGTGTGTAGCACGACATAGCATCACAAATATTATGTATGTAAAGTTCAACTCGGAGAGTGAGCCAAATAAATTATTGTGAAAAAGGGGAAGGACAATATGTTACGAGTTATGACTAACAGCCCACCAACTTTACCAGATCTTATACAGTCAGCGAGGGCGACAAAATGGCACACAACTGACAAGGAGTACTGAAACATTAGGCGACCTGACACCTAGCTCCAACCATTCTCCAAGGCTAAGGTTTGGAGAGGTCCAAGTGGGGAAGGAAAGCGCAACGAAGAAGAGCACGAGCTACACATTACGGCAACAAAGAACGCCGAAAATGACTGGATGATGACGAAACGAGTAAGACTATTGGACATACCAACCTTGCTACACCTGGACGACGCAAGGCAACAGATCACCCAACTTGGGAGGTTCAAGCTTATGTAATAAATATAGAACGGGGCAGCTAAGCGGAGACGAATTGTGACAAACCGAAAGGTCAACAGCCTACTGAACCCCACTATCATGTATGATGGACTAGTTATGTGCAATAACAAGTACTTCCACACGACTTACTAGTTTTGTCATCATCCAATAACTTTCGGCATTCTTTGTTGCCGTGATGCATGGCTCGTGCTCTTCTTCGTTGTGCTTCCCTTCCTCTCTTGGACCTTTCTGAACCTGAGCCTCCCAAGTTGGAAGGAAGTTGGTTTGTGCCTTGGAGAAGTGTTGGAGCAAGGTGTCAGGTCGCCGGATGTCTCAGTACTCCTTGTCAGTTTTGCGCCATTTTGTCGCACTCGCTGACTGTGTAATATCTGGTTACGTTGGTGGACAGTTAGCCATAACTCGTAACATTTTGGCCTTCTCCTTTTTCACAATATGTATGTAACTACTTTTTTGCAAGCTAGCATACCATTTCATAGCTGATGAGGGCAATTTTGCAGAAAAATTGTAATAATTGATTGATATACGAGTTCGATATTGTTCTAGAGAGAATGGGAAAGAGCAGGTCTGCTCTAAAAACCTCTTTCTATAAATGAAACAGCAGGAAGCCTCACCAGAGTCACGACTGCTACTAAATTTATGTGTAGAAATAGCAAAAAGGGCCAATAAAAAGGGCCGAGGAACTTCTGTAAATGATATGCTATAATGTTCAGCAGTTACTTGACAATCAGGTATTGCGATAACATTGCATGCCACTGAACGACGGTACTGACGTTCTATATTTAACTGCCATTCAGCTCTAGCCCGTATTGGATGTGCACTTCCAACTTGAAAGGTTCTAACTTATAGTAATAACATACGAGGGGAAGCTGCATAACCTTATTTCCCATTTTCTCTTTAGTGCTCCCGTTAATTTTTTCTAGTTTCGTATTTTTTCTGTTCGGCGCGCATGAGCAGTGCTATAACCGAGACCCCTGGTCGGTTTAGCTGCTCTTGCCCCGCCTCCAGTGCTTCTGCTGCCATCGCTATGTGCATATCTCTGTGTTTTTGCCAGCGTTTGCACCATTATGGTTTGTGATTACCTTGTAGAAAGAAAAAGTGCTTATTTTAAGGGGATTGCATTGTATGTCGTCTTCTTTACTTGCAGGGATTTTCGCAAAAATAACATCACCTCTTTACCCCCCGGAATTTTCAGTCAAAATATGAAATTACGTACTCTGTAAGTTTAGTAGAGGATAGAGAATTGAATGAATAGATCCATGCGAATTGTTCGAGTGATGAACGAGAGAGCTTGAAAGCTCAGAGCCCTTACTACGCTTTTTTGGCCTGGGTCATCATGCATGTTATTCAAGCTAATGGAAAACTTTAGCAATACTATTATCGACTCCTTGTATTGCAAAAAGCATAGCGAGGGCCCCCAGACTTCAAACTCTCTCGTACTAAGCTATGACATTTAATTTTTTTCCATCCTTTTCTTCAATGCATAACCTGGGTTTGAACTTGCACTATCGCTCTGCGCTGCATGCATTCCCTTGATACATTGTACAACTAACGTACGCCTCCAATGCATTTTTCTCGTCGCCGACATAGCAACTGCAGAATCAAAACTCCCTGGTCCGTAGAGTTTCAGGCGCTGAGTCGAATGGTGAAGGTCCCACATCGATCCGACTAAGCGTTCTTGAGATATATCAGTTTGAAATAGCACTTTTCGGGTCCGTGCCGTGACTTCATTGAGACTCGGTGATCCTTTGGCCAGCTCCAGAAACACTGGGATTTCGCATCTTCTTTCTGTTTGACCATGAAAGAAGAGGGTATTCGCTGTCACCATGGTCTTTTGCTGTGTTGTTGGTTGCTAAAATCTTACTGGCAACCCCCTGGGATAAACCTGCACCAATTTCCGAAGGATTGTGCTTGGCACAGGCTGAGCAGTGCACCATAGCAGCTATCAAGCGACATAAATATATGCTTGACAATTTCGGGACTACAATGTAAATCCTTTGGGTGTTCCAGCCATTTGGCAGAGGAGAATTTTCAGGAGGAATTTTATGCACCCATCCGATGCGGACGCTGGTGGATGAAACTGTGGTGTATCCTTTTTCGCATGCCATGCTGTGAAGTGTCAGCCGAAAAGCGGAGGTGAGTGCAATAATTATTTCAAAAACACTAGCTATGTACTAGTAGTCCTTTCTTTTGCAAAGCATTTGTAGAATTGTTTTGGACTACCTCACTACGAAATGTGAAGCTTTCCGAAACCATCCTGTTGACAGGTGGACGGCAGTAGATCTACTGTTTCCCTAGGTTATACTGCGTGCGATCGATGAACCTGTCTGCGATTGCTGTTCTTGATTTTCACAGGAAGAAAAGCAACAGTGGCTGTACCATTTGTCTCTGTGACTCACTGTTGAGCTACGACCACTGCCATCAACCAAAGGAAGGACTGTTTGCGGCGCCAGCGCCTCTAGCTGACGTGTGTTTTCATGTATGAACAGACAGTATGTACTGCTGATAAGCTACATCAAGCAATGACCTGCAGTTCAAGGAGGGAAGACAGTCCATCCTCCCTGGCGCCCATAACAGCAGGTGTGCCCCAAGGCAGTATCCTTGGCCCGACACTTTTCACTTGTATGTGTCTGACGTGGATCAGTGCCTGTCTCCTGACACACGACTAAGTTCATTTGCAGACGACACAACCCTCTACAGCCTCATCCGCACGCAGGAAAATATGAATCACATGACTGCCGCCTTGCAATCCAGCCTCAAGCATCTTGAAGAGTGGGGAGAACGCTGGCGCATCAGATTTGAGCCCTCTAAATCGCAACAGCTGCTGATGACTACGAAAGCCACACACCCCTGCTGTCCCTGACATCAAGTTTGGAGGTATCGCGGTTTCGCAAGCCAACACCATCAAGCTTCTTGGAGTGACATTTGACGCCAAGCTGTCATTCCGGGATCACTTTCACTGGATTGCGACACGTGGCTGCCAGAGACACTCAGCTTGAAGCGGCTCGACACGTTCAAAGAAGATGTCCATAAGTACCTCACGCACCAACACTGGCTGATGGCTACCGACTTCTACGGATGAACTCCTGACTGTAGCACAGGTCATGTTTCTTGGTTCGGCTATGCTGATGATATTGGGCTTCATTTACCTTTATTATTAGTTTGTTTTGTTTGTTATGATTTCTTGGTTTTCCACCCGCTTTAGTTATACTTTAAATTATTATTTGGTGCAGCTTTAGCACTGTGTGGTTTATGATTTCCCTTTTTCTTCATTACGTTTTTAGCGCTTTTGGGCGTCATTATTTTATTCTCATTGTTTCGCACCAAGTTATTATTTTCAATGTGATATTCTCTAGCTTGAAACTCTCTAGCTTGAAACTCGGATGTTCAGCCATAAATAAATGTAGAAAGGAAAAAGACATCATGGATACAAGTTAAGAGTAACTCTCCATCACTGTAACATGATACTTTATGCAGGCAGAAAGTGCAATAACTAGGCACAAAACTGACAGAGTACTGAGACATTCGACGTCCTGACACCTAGCTTCAACACATCTCCGTAACGCTAACCGACAGCCTTCCAACTTGGAAGGTTCAAGGTTATGGACCTTGTGTGGGTGTGTGGGCACACACGTGTGCGTGTGTGTGTGTGCGTGCGCACGCGAGCGTGCATGGGCACACACGTGAGCGTGTCTGCACATGCGTGAGTATGTGTGCACACACGTGAGCGTGTGTGCGTGCGCGCGCAGGCATGCATATGCGTGTGCTTTTGCATAACGTAATGTAAAATTCCAAAGATACACTCTACCGGTATTCATGTTTTTTTTATCCTGTGTTCTTCTTTATGTTATTCTCTTCCCTTCCCGGAGGGACATGGAATGACGAGTAGCAGAGACAGAATTTACTGTACCGTGCTTACCTGCGCAACCCATAGGGTATTGAGGCGAAAGCAGCTTATTGCTTATCGCGGAACTTTTACAGAATGAAGCTTCGAGTGGCCAGACACACTTTCCTTGACCGTGAGGCTGCTAGTATATCAAAGAATTGCAGTAAGGGCGGATTTGTATGGTGGAAAAGGGCAAAGCAGTTTTGTAACATTGCTGCACATATTGCCCTACTCTACAAGTCATATGTACGACCAACAGTAGAGTACGCTATTCCTGTTTGGTGCTTCAGACTTATCGCTAGCCGGCTAAAATCGGCTCATCAGGTATGCAAGAATGGACTCGGATGGGGAGACAAGGATAAATTTATCGAAAAGAAAAAGGACCAAGGAACTAAAACCTCCTTGGTCCTTTAAAATAAAAAAATTATCCTTGGCTCTCCATCCGAGCCCATTCTGCACAGAACTGATTGTAATTTGTAACCAGTGTTAATCGAGCTCCGGCATCCCAGCATCCCTTCCTTTCATAGGTGCCGCTTTGCTTGACATTCTTCCCTCATCTATGAACTTTTAAAAGCAGTGTGCACGCAATAACCCCCCCCCCCCCACACACACACACCTATTCATCATACACTTCACTACATTAAATTTTAATCTCTATGTGCACTGCTTACACGTACACCCACCCACTTGAATTATATCAAGAGTCCATAAACAAGAGTGTGCAACTGTGATCTCTATTCTATGGGCCAGATGCACGGCACGCTGCCTGCATTAAATCATTCACTCATGATTCAGCTGCAGTCCGCGACCTGCGGAAAATCAAACACCGCACTTTCCCTCTGGTTTAAAATGAGCTTTCGTATGGAACTGGAGTTCACGCGCCAACATTCAGAGATTGCGTGGGTGCTAAAAGGAATCGAACCAAAACGGATGGACTTGTATTTGAAATTGCGGGTCTGAGTGCAGGCTTTCAGAGCGTGATGGAGGCAAGTTACGTCACGAAGGCAGCGTGCTTCAAACTGACTCATCACCATAGTTGCATACTCTTGTTTATGCACTCTTGATTATATACTTGGGAATTTAAATCCGTTGATCTCCGAGCTGCAGAGAGTGCTCAATGTCAGAGACAGAGCTTAGTACACAGCAGACTCAGCGGAGGACGGTCAGTTTGATTATAACTCTGAGTTTCATGCCGTAAGGCAATCATCAGACAACTGATACTCGGGTGTACCCAACAATATGCTTATAAACACATAGGGCCACAAGCATAAACAAATTTAGCGGTAAATCTGGTGTAATGTATGGGGAGAAAGCTGGCGCGGGCCAAGGCGCGACAGTAGAAGTGCCAGGAGGGTGGTGGGCAACAGGCAGGTGTGAGCATGAAAGCGCGGAAAGAGGCGATGTGGAGGCAGTGTACAGCAGATGGGTGGAGGTGCCTGTCCACTTCTACTGTCGCGCCTTGGCCCGCTCCAGCTTTCTCCCCATACCTTACACCAGATTAAGCGCTAAATTTGTTTATGCTTGTGGCCCTATGTGTTTATAAGCATACTGTTGATTAGACCCGAGTATCAGTTGTCTGATGATTTCCTTACGGCATGAAGCTGAGAGTTACAACCAACCTGAACGTTCTCCGCTGAGTCTGCTATGTAATTTGGAATTCTCATGTTATGATTCTTTTTTTTAATATTTCCTTTTCTTTCGAAAGGATTGGAAGAAATTCAAATTTAAAGGATCTGTCGGGGAAGTGAACTAATTGCCTGAAAAGACAAAAAAAGCCAGACTCACCAGGGTCGGTGGGTCTGGTGTTTTTTCTCATTTCAGGCAGTTCACATTCCCGACTGATCCTTTGAATTTCCTTCTCTCATAATATTTTACTCGTTCTTAGCAGGGACTGTAGGTTTCCTCTGGTGAGAAGGCAGACTTGGCTGCGCTCTAAATGAATTCAAACATGTCAGTCATCGCCCTCTCCGATTGTTCCCATTGTATGTTTACTGTGAATTCATAGGTCCTGTTGTAATCTGCTGTAGATCTGCTTCGTATGTCATTTGCTGCCTTGTCTTGTGGATTAGTTACTATTGTTGTTAGATGTTTGTGGTGTTTGTTTGTATACTATATTTAAATTCGCAAATCCAAACGAGCACAAATGCTCAATGACAAGGCAGCGAATAATTATGATATTGTGTCACAGGGAAGGAGGGTCGGGGAGAAACTAAAGAGAAAGAAGAGAGAATGGTAGATATCTCAATGAAGAGCGAAGCTTTATCAAAACTACAAGTAAAGCCTGCGAATGACGGTTCTGTAACCCGCCTAAAAAGACACTCCTGAAACTAGGTAGTAACTGGTAACGAGAGTACTTGCCACTAACATGTGAAGCTGGTTTATTGCTTCCATGGTTGTTGATCCTTTTGTTGAAGCAGAAGTATTGAGCCCTCTATTGGCAAGTATTGAGCACTCTATTGGACAGCCTGGAACCTCTCTGTTTTCAGGAGGCGAAGGTGTATATGTGCTCATTTTTGAGGAGATGGCACTGTATTTCATCTTCTTGAGATGGCGCTGTATTTAGTCTTCTTGAGATTGCATTGTATTCCGTCTTCTTCGCTTGCAGATACCTTAATGAGAATAAAATCACCTATTTACCACCCGGAATTTTCATTCGAAATACCAATCTAGCACTTTTGTAAGTTTAGTAGGAGATAGAGATTGATATCATTACATCCATGCATCGCTTAGTAATCGCATGTTTGGAGAAGTAACGTTTCTCCGTGCTCTCCTTCGAGAGAGCGAACAGTTCAAAGTTATCAGTAGTATAGGGGGAGGGGTACTGGCTCACCTAAAAAATAAAAAAATTTCACGGTTCACGTGAGACTCGGCCAAAGGCCCAGTTTTCCGCATCCGCAGGAACGCCACCACCCTCTTGGATCAAGGCGCAGATGCAGCTCCTAAGCGGTGGGAGGTGAGTAGATCAGACCCACCACAAAGTGGTCAAAGACCGAAATCCCATTCGCTGCATCCATGTTTCCCTCGTGCCAGGCCACGAGTTCCCAAGGTGAGCCAAAATCGACTTTCTCGAACGGCAGCAGGGACTGTAGGTTTCCTCTGGTGAGAAGGCAGACTTGGCTGCGCTCTAAATGAATTCAAACATGTCAGTCATCGCCCTCTCCGATTGTTCCCATTGTATGTTTACTGTGAATTCATAGGTCCTGTTGTAATCTGCTGTAGATCTGCTTCGTATGTCATTTGCTGCCTTGTCTTGTGGATTAGTTACTATTGTTGTTAGATGTTTGTGGTGTTTGTTTGTATACTATATTTAAATTCGCAAATCCAAACGAGCACAAATGCTCAATGACAAGGCAGCGAATAATTATGATATTGTGTCACAGGGAAGGAGGGTCGGGGAGAAACTAAAGAGAAAGAAGAGAGAATGGTAGATATCTCAATGAAGAGCGAAGCTTTATCAAAACTACAAGTAAAGCCTGCGAATGACGGTTCTGTAACCCGCCTAAAAAGACACTCCTGAAACTAGGTAGTAACTGGTAACGAGAGTACTTGCCACTAACATGTGAAGCTGGTTTATTGCTTCCATGGTTGTTGATCCTTTTGTTGAAGCAGAAGTATTGAGCCCTCTATTGGCAAGTATTGAGCACTCTATTGGACAGCCTGGAACCTCTCTGTTTTCAGGAGGCGAAGGTGTATATGTGCTCATTTTTGAGGAGATGGCACTGTATTTCATCTTCTTGAGATGGCGCTGTATTTAGTCTTCTTGAGATTGCATTTTATTCCGTCTTCTTCGCTTGCAGATACCTTAATGAGAATAAAATCACCTATTTACCACCCGGAATTTTCATTCGAAATACCAATCTAACACTTTTGTAAGTTTAGTAGGAGATAGAGATTGATATCATTACATCCATGCATCGCTTAGTAATCGCATGTTTGGAGAAGTAACGTTTCTCCGTGCTCTCCTTCGAGAGAGCGAACAGTTCAAAGTTATCAGTAGTATAGGGGGAGGGGTACTGGCTCACCTAAAAAATAAAAAAATTTCACGGTTCACGTGAGACTCGGCCAAAGGCCCAGTTTTCCGCATCCGCAGGAACGCCACCACCCTCTTGGATCAAGGCGCAGATGCAGCTCCTAAGCGGTGGGAGGTGAGTAGATCAGACCCACCACAAAGTGGTCAAAGACCGAAATCCCATTCGCTGCATCCATGTTTCCCTCGTGCCAGGCCACGAGTTCCCAAGGTGAGCCAAAATCGACTTTCTCGAACGGCCCTTCGGGCCGACCTCCCAAGTCTCCCCCCTCCCCCTATACTACTGTATTAGAGGATAGACACCCCAAGTGCTAATTTTACAACCCCAAGAACTAATTTTACAATTCCAAGTACTAATTTTACACCTCCAGCCACTAATCCAATGTTGGCTCAACCCAATCCAGAAAAGTGAGCGAACTTACTCCCTCTGAGAAATCGGAAGTGAGCCAACTTCAGCTTTTTCACTTACCCGATCTTGGCTCACTTCGAGGACTGATGTGGGATCGGTTTCTGAGCCAACTTTGGGTGATTCAGCTTTGGATGATTTACCACCATCAATCGGTAACTCATACACATTTTCCATCTCATCATCAACAATATATTTCCCAGCTCTCGTGATATCTTTTCAGCATACTCAACTGTTTCCTGTTTTAGTTTTGCTAAGGGATGGGTCATTTCCACATAACATCTTTTCTTGTTTTTCATTAGCTTTTTTTGTAATAGGGGGTCTCCATCCTGAGTTGAGTGCTGCTCTCACCTCAGCGAGGGTTTCTTTTGTGGGTATGTAAGGCGTATTTTTCACCCGATCATCTTTACATGATATTCTGGGGGTGAGTTTGAAACTCAACAAAGATGCTCAGGAGCATGACACGGTCCCCATCCACATATTTACCATAAATCCACAGATTTTCTATCATTGACAAAAGCAGAGCGTGACAAGATGGATGGTGGGAATTTCAAACTTCTTTACGATGAAAAGATTGATGAGAGCCTCGAAGATTACTTTGAAAATATGGGATTGTTGACACATCTTTGTATACATGAGAAATAAAAGAGTAGATAGATAGACAAACATGAAAGTTTATCACATAATCTCCCGTGGGACAGTTGGGTTTGGATACTCTCTCTCCAACATTCCACATTTCCGTGAAAATATTCCGGGGGTGAGTTTGGAACTCACGAAAGATGATAAGGAGCATGACACGATCAACATCCACTGTCGTGCACGTGCACGTGTCCCAGGTCGTCAGACTAACACACGGGTCGAGCGAGATCCCTCGTCACAAACAGTTTAGAAACACATGTCTTCGAACAAACAACAACTACCAAAACTCCATTGAAGCATCAAAATCAACGGAGAAAAAAGAACCAAGAACGGAGAGCTGGGGACGCACGTACCCGGCCCCGTACCGGGCGCACAGCCAAGGAGGATGACACCGTAGCGTCCCCACGCTCGACTGGGAAAGAAAACAGCAAGCAAAGAAATCTGACGAGTGCGAGCGCAGTTTCAACTTCCAGCATTTTGAATGACAAGCTGCAAGCGTGAAGCGAAACACGTGACCGAAAATAATGCATGATGTCATCAGTGCACACGCGGACAATGCAAAAAGGTCAAAAGCGAGTGCTGCAAGAAACAGCACAAATAAATAATAGTTCGGATGGCGAAGAGCTAGAAAGGCAGATTCCTAATTATCGAAGAACAATACATATTGTAGAGTTCCAACGCGACTGCCGGGAGATGCTGGCACCCACCAGACGGGTGGTTGCTGCCCCTGTCAGAGAAATAGAACGGGAACTGAGGCAGAGGAGCCACGTTGCAAACGGTGAAATGCGCAAGGTAAGAATATTCAAGCGGTGTCAAATTACGATGTACTGAGTAATATATGGGTAGACAAAGACAGACACTAACAAATGGAGAACGTTCCAACAGAAGCCGTGAGTGAGAAGAGAGGTGAGAGAATGAGAGCCCTTTCCTGATCAGATCCGCAACATCCACATATTTACCAATAATCCACAGATTTTTATGTCATTGACAAAAGTAGAGCTTGACAAGATAGATAATGGAAATTTCCGACTAGTTTGTGCTGAAAAGATAGATGAGACCTTGGATGAATACTGTGAAAATAGGGGGTTGTTGACACGTCTTTGTATACATGAGAAATAAAAAAAGTAGATAGATAGACAAACATGAATGTTCAATGCCTATCATGTAAGAAAAAGCAACATATGAGGGGAATACAAGGAGATGTTACATCAACTGGTCAACCATATGTCAAGGGTAAATGCTCAGTATGTGGTCGATCGTGTTCACAATTTATCAAGAAATCGGAAATCAGAGAAGGTGGATTCCTGTCCGGGTTTGTTCAAGATGATAGATTTAGGGATAAAAAAAGATAGATACGAAATGGACTGATGACCTGGCTGCTGAGTTACACAAACCAAAGCATGTGAATTTCACAAGGAGACAAGTGACTGTGAGTGAGATTGATGAAATCTGGTCAGCCGATCTCGTGGACATGACAGCTTTTGTTAATACAATGATGAAATCAAATTTCTGCTTCTTTTTTACTCTCTTTCTCACTCCTGTGTGCAGCCACACCATATGTGCCCCCACCCCTAACACACCTCAGTCTCATGCACAGTCACATGCACACCCACATACACACGCACACAGCAACAACAAACAGCCTCTGCGGGGACAGCAGCAACAGCAAGCAAGTGTATTGTCAACTCACGGCGACAATAATAAACAGCTTTAAAAAAGCAACTCAAACTAGATCATCGAGATTAGTGCAGTCTGCAATCTGAGCACACCGCCAGCGGTGTGCTACGGAAATATCCAAACGACTCAACAAAATAACCATTCACTATGGCGGGCGGGTATGGGCACTACACTTGCAAAGCAAGAAGAAAAAGAATGCTGCAGCCGGAGCGCATGCTCCTAATATCTCGCATTTGCGAGCAGCAAATGTTACGTCATGCAAAAGAAAGACAAAAAAGAACTACATTTCTCGTTTCTTTCCTACGTCAGCCAACGAGAAATGAGGCATTTCTTTTTTATTCTCTTTCTCACTCCTGTGTGCACCCACACCATACGTGCCCCCACCCCTAACACACCTCAGTCACATGCGCAGTCACATGCACACCCACATACACACGCACACAGCAACAACAAACAGCCTCTGCGGGGACAGCAGCAACAGCAAGAGCAGCAAAGCATAGCTAATGGATGGCCAGTGCCCTTGACACTGAGAGCATTGCTGAGAGCGACTCGGGGCCTTGAAGTACATCCGCATGGATGTTTCGCTTCTCCAGCCGCCCTGACGTTGGATCAGTCTATCCGGGACTCCTGCTGCCGCGGCCACCGATGCTCCCCCAGAACGCAGGCTATGCAGCCCAAATGCGCTTGGGTTGAAGTTCGCTTGGCACAGCGCGTCCTGGATCAGCTCTCGGGCACGGCTGTAAGACATCTGGTCCCGGACAACTTGACTAGCGTTTCCTCGCCGAATACGGCCGAACAACTTCTGGTGGCCTTCGTAACCTCTAGACCGCAGTCGCTCTGTCAGAGCCACTGGGCATACTGCTCCATGCCATCTTGACAGCAGCACACAGTTTCCTTGGCGCAGTTGATCATTTTTTCTCACTTCGAGAAATAGTGCCATGTAATCTTCCTTGATTTCGATCTTGTCGACGTATATGTTTGACAAGTCGTTCCACCGCAAGAGCCCTGCGAAGCCAACAGTCATCAGAGTCGCTGTCTGCAAGTTCTGCAGTGACTCATTGCGCAAGAGCCTGGTAGCAACTTGGTTTAGCATCTGCTTCGTCATCGGCTTCTTCCGGTTCTTCGGCGCCGCCAGCAGCCGTTTGGCGGCCTGGACTAGGTTCCGAACATGTGCGTTGTCTGTGGGGTCCGGTAGGCCTCGCACCTTGTGCGACCAGGCCAACGCGCAAATAGCGGATGTTATTGGTGACGCTGTCCACGCCTCCTGGAGCAGCTTCACGACATACAAACATATGTGCCAAGACTCGGCTGGTACGCTCGGGATCTCTTGACTGCTAGCCCACTCTTGCCAGCGCTGAAATGTCGACAAATACCTGGTCACTGTTCCCGGTGCCCTACTCGCCAACATGACTTCTGGAATCTTCCTGGATAGGTTCACGAGCTCCTGGGTTGGCTCCGCTTGAACCACCCTCAGCTCTAGGCATGAACACAAGATCATAATGTGAGGCACCTGTCAACAGAGTCATCAGCATTAGCGTCGGCTTCAGCATCTGCAGCAGCTATCAGCCTCACTTGAAGAGCATTATACAACGGCATCAGAAGCAGCGTCTGCCAGCCCTGTGGGCTACAACATCGTCATCGGCATCACCAGCAGCAGCATCCGTCTGCCCTGCGGGTTATGACATTGTCAGCAGCATCTGCCTCCTGCCCTGCAGGCAATGGTGTTTCCTGAACACCAACATAGGACAATGCCTCGTGCACCGTGCACTCACATGTGCTCGCGCCACAAAACCACAGCAATCGTGTCAGTACGCAAATCAGCAACAGTTATTCTTCATGCACACTCTTAAAGCCAGCATTTCTGAATAATATTGCTTGCCCCCCAGCAAGTTGTAAGGGCAGGTACCTTCCAGAAATGTGCTTTCATCATGGGGTAGCACCAAAACTCCTTTTACAAATGGTTACCAGCTTTGCCTCCCATGTAATATTGGCCACCAATCCGCTGACACCCACTTAGGCACGACCAGTGTGCCATGGCCGCAGCACATTTTTAACATACTCAAAACCCTGGGTATTAGGTGGAACGGAGGTGTAAGCCACACCGTTTCCATTGACCAAT